ACCGTTGTCGGCCGCAATGGCCTCGGCGCCCCGTTGCTTGTAGCCAAAGATGAGATCGATCCACTTATGGAGGTTCTCGGACACGTAGTCACTCTCCAGTGCCTGGCGCATCTTGGTAACAAAGTCCCTGGGGCCGTTCGCCCACGGCGGCAGCACCACGTCGCCTGGATAACACGCGACATTTGATAAGCTCAGAACAGGCAACCCTTTTTGAAAAAGAAGTGTGAGCTGTACCCAACATCTCGCCATTGCTCCGCACGCCCAGGTAGAGGCTCTCGGTGTTGAGCAAGAAGTCGGGCATGTTGTAAAACTCGGGGATCAGCTGTGTGCGAGAGATGATTGACCAATCAGGTGAATGGATTGGTTAATTGGGTGCCAGGGGTGTTTAGTGTGTACCTCCTTGACGTCGGCAGGGAGGTTGAGTGCATTGTTCCACGTGTCGGCGATGCTGTGGAACATGCGATCGGGCGCATCAAACTTGCCGTTTTGCAGGCGGAGCATGTACTCGGGCGCCGCGCGCACCAGGTAGTAGAGCACATAACCTGCACGCGCGCGTTCGTAGTGGAAACTAGTTGTAAACGACGAGGCGGTGTTGGGAGGCCGAAAAGTAAGAAATAAATAGAGGAAGCGCGCACCTGGAGTGGAGTAATGGGTGCCGTAGAGGAACCGCGGCTCGGGCATGTCTCGGTATCGTTCCTGGACATCAGTAAAGCGCTGGTTGTCAGTAACCACGCTCAAAAAAGTGGCCGTGGTTTCCTTACCTTGAAGCTCTCAAGCCGACGAGGATTCAGTGCTCCGATTGGCTTGCTGAGGTCGCGGAAGGTTTTGGGGTCCTTCAGGTCTGAGTAGAAAAGGTTCGGAGTAAAGACGGGACGCAGCTCAGCAGCTTGTGCGTCTGTAGGGAGGGGGAGGGGACACGCGTACCCAATGTGCTGCTTTGGTAGTCGGCGATGATCCATGGAAAGACGGGGTACTGCGTAATGTCATTCACGGTCCTCCCCGCTCTGCAAATACGAATAGAGCGAAAGTGTCAAAAGGCGGTGGCGGCCCACGTCACCGCATTCGGTTGCCTGACCTGTGATTAAGCAGCATGAGGTAGTCGTAGTTGCTCAGCTCGCCCTCTTGCCACTTGCGCGTGTACATCCGGAACGGGTCGTCGTCCTTCTGTAGGTTCTTCATTTCTGCAGCGGAGAAGAGGGGAAAAGGTGAGAGTAGCCCAGATTGCGAGTCTGTGAGCAGTTTATGCCTACAGCAGGGGTGAG